TGGCTAATCTCCCTAATGGACGGACATCCTTGAATCTGAGCGACCAAACACACACACACACACACACACACACACACACACACACACATATATATATATATATATATATATATATATATATATATATATATATATATATATGTTCTATCCATTACTCCAACGTGCCTCCGGAAAGCAGAGTTCGAATTCCAGTCGAATCCATTGCATTCACTTACGTGTTAATACTCTTGGGAAAGGTTTGAATCCTCTTCTTTACCCTCCAGCTATGGGTAAATAACAAGACAAACTGGGTTCTATAGCTTTGGATGGCAACTGAGCTGAGATAAGATAATAGAAACGAAAAGGACATTTGTAGTTGAAACCAGAAAGTGACATTAGAAATTTGCGGACACGTAATGAAGAAAGAAAAGTCCCAGGATATATTGAAAATAAGCCGTGTATAGGGAGGGAAAGCAACCATTGAACGAGCCAATGTGCTCATGTAAATGAATGGCATTTGAGAGAAATAGGGAGATTACACCCGAACATTGCTACAAAAGATAAGACGCAGTGGAGAGACATGATCGCCCACGTTCTATACGGATGCAGTTCATAAAAGGTAGTGCATCTAAGAAGACGGTGGAAACTAGATTTGAAGATAAGTAAATGTTTTTTGTTGCCAAATTTCTCTCATCTTTTGTTCGTGCCAAGCCAACACGTGATGACTGAGTCCATTTCTTGGCCACATAGACTAGCCTGATTACGATCACATCTTCACGAATATATCTGTATCATACTAAGATTAGTTGAAGCATGCGTGCTTTTTACATTATGTCCATTAATACTGTAAATGTTGTGATTGTTAGAACAGTGTAAATATGCAAGCGTTATCGATTTCAAATCGATAAAGACCCTGTATTGTTTACGTCAGCTCACTGACAAACAGTTTATCTATGCATTTTCTATCTTTTGTTTTGTTTTTGTTTTTTTATCTTCGTATTTTTTCCGCCTTATCTGTCTTTTAAAAACAAGAAAATGATAAACTTATATCATGCTAAGGTAATGTCCTTGCTGATTAATCTGGATGAGCGTATCTTCTGAAATTTAAGGACGTGCGTGGGTGGGGTTGTAAACATTTTTGGACGGTCATATGCTATACGCGGCCAGTTGATCTGGGCAGCACTTCTACTTTTAGAAAACCTTTAACACGACGTCTCCACTGTTGAGATTGATAACGGGAAAACGGTATTTAATCAGAAATGCTTCCCTAATGATGAGTTGCGTACGACAAGGTGATATGGAGAGAATATTTGTGTTACCGACAAAAATTTTCTTTAATGGTTTTTGTAAATTATGAATTAATAAATATATTTCTTAATCGCACACTGCTTCGAAAGGTGTTCTGTATCCCGCGAACACACTGCACACAGCTAAACTACTATGTAGAAGTCAACACAAAATTCGACATCTAAACATCCTTGATAATGTTTATGAAATCAGTTGAAAGCGCTGGAAACAATTATAACTATGGAAAATTTCTATATTCTTTAACTCCTAAAAAACGGAAAAACGTTAGAATGCTGTAAAATCTTAATAAAAGATGATTACACACACATCTGTCCTGGACATTAAGTTCTACCTGAATTCTATAATTTTGGAAATTTGTATATATACATGTATGTGTATGTATGTATGTATATATATTTATATATTGTGTATATATATATATATATATATATATATATATATATATATATATATACATGTGTGTGTGTATTAACCACTAATATTTTATATATATATATATATATATATATATATATATATATATATATATATATATATACGATAAACGTGCAATCAATTTACAAATACATGAATTATTCACAAAAACTAATGCAAAGGTTAATGATTTAAATGGCGAGACATCCATCATCGCAAACAATTCAAATAGTATACAAAAACCTCCGTATCCATTATGAATGAAATGATCCTTGTTTATATAAATTTCTGCCGTATTAGTTCTTATTTTACTACAAGCTTTCGTCTGTTCCTACAGACATCTCCAGGTATAGAATAGATGTTGTTCTTGTTTTTTCTCTTAGTAATAAGAGGACAACGAAAATATATGCATTGTTGTATCCGAAAATGCTATTGAAAATGAGTTATTGTTTTTGAACGCGCAAAAGCAACGCTGAGTTTGATTTTAAATTTTTAAAGGTTGTGCGTTCATATAAAATATGGTGATGAACAAATTTTTACTGGTAAATTTTTCTGTCAAAGTGGCATGAACTATATTGTTCAATAATTACAGTAATGTCGCACTTATTATCCAAAAGTCGCACTTGGATCAGTTATTTAAATTACGATAAACGTGCAATTAACCTTTGCATTAGTTTTTGTGTGAATAATTCATGTATTTGTAAATTGATTGTAACTCATTTTCAATAGCATTTTCGGATACAACAATACATATATTTTCGTTGTCTTCTTATTACTAAGAGAAAAATCAAGAACAACAACTATTCTATACCTGAAGATGTCTGTAGGAACAAACGAAAGCTTGTAGTAAAATAAGAACTAATACGGCAGAATTTTATATAAAAAAGGATCATTTCATTCATAACGGATACGGAGGTTTTTGTATATTATTTGAATTGTTTGCGATGATGGATGTCTCGCCATTTAAATCATTAACCTTTGCATTTGTTTTTGTGTGAATAATACGTATATATATATATATATATATATATATATATATATATATATATATCACGACCAAAAATCCATATCCCATAAGTGTCGTAGAAACATCAATGTACTGAAACTGCAGTTGCAGTGATGCTTTTCGTCAAGATAATAACCTGACGGACGCCAAGCCTCTCCAGGTTGTTTTGCAATCAGTTTCTCCTTCTTCTTGAAACATTGCCAAACAAATTCTATTAGGTCCAATCTCTCCCGCTCTTTATCTATAAACTGATCCATACCATTCCCAAGGTTACTAGCAAGTAAGTGAATGTAATGAACTCGACTTGAATTCGAACTCGGCCCACCGATCCTCATTTTGAGCTTAAATAAATACACACACAAAACTGATATATATATATATATATATATATATATATATATATATATATATATATATATATATATTGATGCATGTTTCATTAAATAATATAGTTTTGTCTATTTATTTTATGTAAA